AGTACTGAGTAAAAGGAGCATAAAAATATGATGAAAAAAAAGTCCAGTCAATAACTTGAGTGGAATTTATAGCTGTATTTTTTGGAAGAAGCCCGCTGATTAAAACTGCCCGCCATGTCTTTTTTCCGCGTATTTACAAAATTTTGTGAACAAGAACTGTGTATTAGGCAGCTGCTGTGTCTGTCATGCCGTTTCTTATTCTAGCTCCGTAGTTCAATGAGTGCGTCTTGGTGCCTGTTGTTGACATAATCCTCTAAGCAACCCGCGCCACTTATTACTTAGCCCGATGATCAAAGTCAAGAGAGCTAGATTCACATCCACACACATTCGTGCATCTGTTGCGAAATTCTCCATAACCTCCACACCATATCATATGGTCATCAATACCACGCAACAACTAATCAACACATCACGAAATTCAACACTCACTCCCCCCTCCATTCAGCTATAAAACCCCAATCACCTCCCTCTGGTCTCCCATCCCTCTCAACGCCTTCCTCTCCCCCAATTCCCTCCCACCCACACATATCACCTACACAAACACTACACACACACACACACACACACACATCGCATGCAGTCCCTCCTTTCTTGTTGTTTTAACCACTTCTAGCGCTCCTTCCTGAATGACTGCCTTTCCTCTATAGCTCATCCTCACTCCAACAGTATTTATTGGAAATCCTTGTTCCTTGCATTTCCCTTTATTACCTTTTCCGTCTTTATACGCATCAAGTCCCAACAAACTTTCCTATCCTTACTTCTCTCTCTTCTTATTTCATTCGCCCCTCTTCCTCCCTTCTGAATATCCTCTCCTGGCTTATTCTTATTACTAAATCACCCTCCTCCCTCTGTAGACCTCTTTCAAATTTCCGCTACGGCGTACAACCCACATCACTGCTTCTTGTTATCACCAGAATACCCTCTTTAGTTCCTTCTCCTACTATTTCACCTCCTACCTTGATGCCATCTTCCAGATCTTCCATTGTCTCCTTTATCACTGCCCCTTCGAGCATATAGATGTTGAAGCAGGAATTCAGTGAGCAGGAAGCATCCCTATCGCTGGCATCCTCTTCTAACAGTTCCCAGGGCTCCCAATTTCCCTTCTGGAATATGTCTACTGTTTACGTCTTGATTTAGCATATGAATTTCTTTCATGTCAGCCGCTTCCCCCGCCGTCTCTTCCCTGTCGCCATGGTTCCAGTCTTTTTTTTAGAGTTTCAAGTTGTTTTGCCCTACATTGAACCTATTCAAATTGCATTCTTCATAAATTTATGTGAAATTAACCCCCTCCACGCGCCACTTTTCCCTCCTGAACATCCAGAACTTGTTTCCTGCATCGAATCCACTCCCTTCTATGCATGCCCCTTCACTCACCCCCTCTCGCCCCTACTCCCGATGCCTCTCTTTCCACACTCCCTGATCTAAATCCGAAAATGAGCTTCTCTCTATTCCCTACCCATAAATGCCCTTCTTACCCACGCTTTTTCGTTCATTCCTAACACTTCCTCCTCTTTCTTGCATATATTTTCTCTTTTCTCTTTTTCTCTCTAGCATCTATTTTTGGTTCGCACTGACTAATCAAGCGATTCCCTTCCCCTCTCGCTTTCCTATGTTCTGCCTCCAGCCATCCACTCTGTTTTTGCGCCATTTTCAAGCAAAGGCCCTCCAACTCCCTCTTTTGTTACCTACTCTTTCTGATCAGTCCTTTCTTATAAATCATGCTGCGTCCCACTCATTCATCTTCTTCTACTCATTTCTCCTTCTCCTCTCGTCCTATTCTCTCTCATCTCCTTATGCTTTCTCTCCTCATCACTCATCATCTACTCACCTCTCTTGCTCTCTCTCATTCTCATCTTCATACTCTTCTCTTCTCTTCTCTCTCTCTATTATCGTGCTTTGCACTTCTATCTCTCTCTCTTTCCTCTCGTGACTCCTCTTACATCTCTCTAACTCTTCCTCCTACTTCGTTTCTTACTCTACATCACTCTCTCTCTCTTTCTCTCTCTACTTCTCTCTCTCATGTTCTCTTTCTCTCATCTCTCTCTCTCTTCTTGCCACTTCATCTCTCTCTCGACCTCCTTCTCCTCTCTCTTTCCCCTCTTCCCACTGCTCTTCTCTTTCCCTTACTTTCCTTCTATACTACTCGCGCTCTCCTCCATCATCATACCTCTGAACCCTCCCTCTTTCCCCACTCCTCCCTCTCTTCTTTCCCTCCCTCCCTTCCCTCCTCTCTATCTTTTTTAGCATCCCCTAAGTCTCATGAGGTCTCGCCAGCCTAATGTGCCATCCATAATGAATTGCACTCCTAGTCCCCATAATTGACCAGCTGATTGTCTCCACTTTCGAGTCAGGTCAACGATCAGTTTACAGGTTTTCTTGGCGCGGTTCCGTGGCCCAATATTCCTCGTTGACCTTTTCATCATATCCCGGCTCTGCCTTTGTTCCCATGGGCAGGCTGCTCGTGACTCTGTGCCAAAGTGTTTAATTTTATCAGTGGCGGCCCAAACCCGGCATTCACTTTTCGCAGCCCATTTTCTATTCACAGGCTCCAGCGCGCCACCACATCTGCACCGCCCAAAGTGTTCATGTCTAACAGCCACATTCCAGAAGCCCAACAAAAAGTGTGGTCGGGAGTCCACTCGCTTTGTACGCCAACATAGACTTTGGATTATATACCCTTCTTTGTGGCGCGTGAGTAAACATTAACACTAGCTCACGGCGACGTATTATCTGACAACTCTATTCTGAGCGCATTTACATATGTTTGCATGTTTTGCATGTATTTGCAAGGTTTTTGCAAAAATTTTTTGTCGATTTTTGCATATCTTAGTTTTTTCTCTGAAGGGATAAAGTAAACAAAATATTTGCGCGAAAGAGGGAAGTGCTTAGCGAAGACCAGGTGCTGTGCGCACTCACTCAATGTACTACGAGGTCGACCATACGTACCGATAACTCAGCCACGGATGGTTATAGAGAAATAATAGTTAGAATAATAGAAAATTTAATGAGAGGGAATTAACGGCTCATAGAGCATATGAGAGCAATAATACTTAGCTGAAGCAAGATGAGGGATATAGAGATTTAGAATAATTAGTGCACGAAAATGATATAGAGATTAGAAGTTAACATTCAAAGAGATCGCATAGTCATTCTAGCAGTCATTAGATAAATCTTCAATCGCATAGCTACGACTGAGGTGACGATGAGATGAAGTACTTGAGATACTATTCAAGAAGAAGAATAGATTCATCGCACGACGTTTATAGTTTCATCGCAGTGTGCACTATGTCTTATGATTCAGTTGCATGTTCTCTTTTTGATAGAATAGAGAGATAGACATCCCCCTACCTTTCTCTCCTCTCTCTATAGTGACTCTTAGCCCTCGCTTTGTGAGAAAAAATCATCTCCCTACTTTCTCGCTCTACTCGTAAGACCTCGAGTCTCTCTCTTTTTTTAAATCTGGTCTCTTTCAGCATTAGACAAATGGTCGCATCGGAGACTGTCCCATGAAAGGTTAAAGCAAGACGTCATCGAGAATCCCTCTTTTTGCATTCTCTCGATAGCAGTATGACGATCTCATCTGCATCTCTGACTCTCTCTCTCTCTCTCGCTACTGTTACTCTCTCTCTCTCTCTCTCTCTCTCTCTCTGTGCTCCTCTCTCTCTCATCTCTCTCGATCGACGACCTCTCTCCCTCTCTCCCTCTGCTCCGTGCACTCTGCGATTCCCTCTCCTGCAGCACGTATCCGCTCACTGAGACGATCGACCGTGACTCGTACACCCTCGCATCTTCAGCACGATCGTCTGTACGACCTCTCTTTACGACCTCTCTGTACGCTTACGCACTCGTACTCTCTCACTGTGCTCTCTGCATCTCATCGTCGTTCATGCTCTATGTACTACTCTCGTCGCAGTGCTATCTGACTACTCATCTCTCCTCTGTCTCTGACTCTCCCTCTCTCCCTCTCTGCATCTCTCTCTCTCCACTCTCGTGCACGTCATGCATGACTCTATAGAGCATCATACGCACGATACTACGTGAGTACGTACTGCGTAGACTCACTGACGACTCGCATTTGTTTTATATTATATATTGAGTGTATCTCAGCTTTGACGTATTTTACTTTGATATTCTATGATGTTTTACGAAGTGAGAATAGATGGCACTACGCGAGCTATCTGTCCGCTCACCTCTGAGCTATGAATGTTAATGGAGTATGCATGATTACACCCTAATAGTTTCTTCGATTTTTTATTGTATGTTGAAGACGTATTAGAGAACGGTTCACATTGAGATGCAGTACCGGAAGACTAGCAAGGAAAAATACTGAAGAGAGAGATATATGCAGTCCCGTCTGGGTTGAGGAAGCTTCCCAACGATTGCATAAAACTCTTAGAGTGTGATTTGGCACATCCAGGCTCCAGGGAGTACACCATTTCCATGCTGCGGTGCTGTGACTGGTGGTGTAGGTGTATGGAATTGAACATTGCAAAAAAATGAGATATATGACATAACCAAATTTTCCATACTTTTTTTCTTTCACTAAGTCATCTTCTAAATATATGATATGGAATCTTTGCAAGGAAAATAAGCTATTACCATATGGATAAGGCATATCAAAAGACAAATATAGACATTGGAAAATGGCTAAAAGGCAAAAAAAGGCACACAAAATATTTTTGCAAAGAGAAGACACTGACTCTTGTCACCGCTTATGTGGCCTGGCTATGACCGACCCCTACAGGCCTATGCCTGGCCTACGGACCGCACACCTGGGACATTGGCTACTGTTTGTATTTTTGGCACCATGATTATAAAGCAACCAGATCCAGTGGGTTAATGTCATTGTGGAGGAGATATACATGTATCCTAAAGACTGATATACACACTTGTATGCTCCTTTGTCATAAGATAATTGGATTGAAAAAGCACAAACGTGAAACCTATACAACTTCATATTGACTTTGTAATTCTCAAAATAAATACTCTCTCTCTTTTACAGGTTATTAGAGCTACGCCTGTCAGATCTTAGTTATGTGGGGAGCGTCGAGTTAGAAGCACTGGACATGGTAGAGAACACACTGATAAAGTTACTGCCCTCCTTGTCACACCTCACACACCTCAACCTATCCACAAACAGAAACAAGATCACTTTCCCCTCCTGTTCCACGGAAATCCTGCAAGTTGTGGGCTGCTCTTGCCCCAACCTGCAGCTCCTTGACCTCAACCACAACAACCGTGTCACAGGGGAAGGTCTGCTGTACCTCTACCCTTCTGACACGCGGATTGGTTGTGCCAAGCTTGAGAAGCTCTTCATCCAAGACTGCAGCATCGAGCCAGAGGATGTGGCGATGTTGATCCACTTTTTTCCAAACCTGCAGATTGTAGGGTACAAGGAGCTCGGAACATCATTGCAGATGCTCAAGTCACAGCCTAGAAAATTTAGCTGGAAGAGGAGACGCTACCAGTACCGCCTCAAGCTTACACACGTTGACAACTCGCTGTCGAGGGTGCAGAGGTGTGATGGGGATGTGGTTGACTTTGTGTGCGAGTCGTGCCCAGATCTTGAAAACCTTAAAGTGAGAGTATGTGATGAAGATGTGGGAGGAATGGGCAGATTAGAGAAACTGAAACATCTTGAGCTTAGGTTTTACACTGGAGTTCATCACCCTATCAGCCTCTCGACGTTAAGTTACCTAGTTGACCATGGTCACAGACTAGCCTCCTTAGCCATCTTCTGCAATAGACTCCATGCTCGCCACATCCAGACAATTGCAGAAAAAACTGCATCAACCTCCAAGAAATGTTTCTTCCATGCCCCATGGCCAGTTTTATTATCTGCCTTACTATGTATAAAATACAGATGAGTCAAAGCTAGAAGGCTCCAACGGAAGAAGTGCTTCCTTGAATAATTGTACCTACCCTTACAAAGGTTTGTCTCCTTTATACTCAGCCATATAGTCCTATATCCACTTATGGCCTCTCTCGCTCCTCCCCTCCTGATCATATTCCTCTTAGTCCTCCTTATTGTTCAACAGGCAGAGAGCTGTGCTTTAGGTACGTATTGCATGTAGAATCCTTGATGAGTCACCCTAAATCACATCACCCATTGGACTTTTCCAGTTACCGTAGCGATAAGATTATAATCACAATAACATAGATTGCCTTCCATCCCAGCTTTTAACTCCTCCTAAATTCTATTTACTTTGGTGCTTTTTCACGCTTCACCCGCCACCTCTATAAATTTTCTCCTTATCCTCTTTCTTCATCACTCTCATTTATGTTATCTTCTACTTTCCCAGGTCGTGCAGAAAGCCCGTGATTTACTTAAACACACTAACCGTATGGCTTCGAGTGCTTGTATGAATCGGTCAACCCTCTGCGAGGAAGCAAATATAACCACCTAAATAGGTGGCCGGGAGTGGATGGCACCGTCCGCATCAAGTGAGCTTTTATCTGTGTAATGCTACTGTTCACTTTCTCATTACTCAAACCATTCTCCTAATCCCTTCTACTTCTAAACCCTAACACGCAAATCTTCCTCATTATCCATATGTCCTTATACCTATCCTTTACTTTTTAATTTATTCTCCTTTAATTTGTTACCCTTCATATCTCAGTTAATATAGTACCTATTTATGTCACCGTAACACTACTACATCACCTCAATATATATATGTGCTTACTGTGACGTTCTATGGGGTGAATTACAAATTGCGATTTACGTTGTATATGGAATTATATGTTTTCTAACGGTCCGACGCCTCTCCAAGATCCTCTTGTGTAATTACTCCCTTCCTTTGTGCATTTACCTCAAGAAAGTACACTAACATTGGGTGCTGGTTGAAGAAAAACATAATGTGATTGAAAATTCGCAGTTTTAGTATATCATAACTGCCACCTTTAACTTGGATAGAACTCATCAAATGATACTAAGCAAAAACCTAAACATCGCAACTAACTCTACTTTATAAATATTTTCACAGACGCCTCGATAATACATATAATAAAGCTTTTCGGCATTTCACGTGCCCGACGCTGCGCGAGCGCGCGCACGTACACACACACACCCACTAGCGACACTGTAGTGTAACCTAATAAGCAGAGACTCTCGGGCGGACCATAGTGAGCACTACGATAACCGACTTCTTCCTAGACCTGCTCCTTGTATAATAGCGACTCCTGATAGAATGCCGCCACCCTAAAACTCAGCAAAAATGATGTTAATAAACCACGTCGCATAACAACTATCTCTCTATAACACAAATCACCAGCGCTGTTATGAATAACGCCACAGTACTCATTCACACCAGCCTATAATCAGTGGTGAACGATATGTGTGTGGCATACGTTATGTAGAACAGTCCACGTTACCTCTCACCGTCTCTAAATTCATAATAAAATTTATATTTGGTGGAGATACTCGACTCTTTGTGATTTCTCTCAAACTCAGCAATCAATCTTATCGATTACGTAGGTGTCGATCCAAGTGAACAGAGTTGTCCTTTTTTCTCTTCTCCTTAAGTCATAACCAGAAATACTGGTCGCTTCCCTCTGCTCCTCTCCTTATCATTCAAGTGTCTTCAACATCCCCTCAGTATCTCTTCCCTCTACCCTAAACCATCTTACCTCTATTCCCCTTCTCCCCCAGTTCAGATTCCTTTTCCAGTCTAAATTCAGATACTCCACAATCTCTACCACTTCTCCAATCCCTACCCCTCCTTCTCACTTTACCTATATCACACCAGACAATCTAAACATTCCACTTCATTTTCACCTACCACATCCTCTCCTACATCCTCTTCTTCCTCTGTTCCTCAAACATCTCTTTCCTCTTCTCCTCCTCACAAGAGAACCTCCCCACCCAATTCACCTCCAGAAATTCTTGAAGACATCCCTTCTCTCACAACAGTGTCCTTTTCCGAATCCCTTCCATCTTAGCATTTTTCCTGATACATCACCACCATCCCCAACCCCCTTATCTCATTCCCCAGATTCTACTCTTGTTACTTCTCCAACACCCATCTTTACCCATATTACCCATTGGTAATCTTTTTTCAGTTTTCCATAAACAATGTTCCTATTCCTTCTCCAGCCACAGATATAATCCATTTCATCCTATTGCCTTTTGCACTTAACTCTTTCCTTTAGTAATCTGGGAGGAGGGAGGGAGGGAGAAGGAGAAGAGGAGGAAGGGGAAGGGGAAGGCAAAGAGGAGGAAGGGGAAGAGGAAGAAGGGAAAGAGGTAAAGGAGGAAGGGGAGAAGGGAGGAGGTTACATTGATTTATGATTATATTCCCTTTGTAAAGATTTGCTGTCATTAGACAATGCAGTTGTTATGAAGATTTATACTTGTACTGTCATGAGAATTTCTGCAGTGTTGCTTTGTCCTCTCTTTCTCTCTTTTTTATTTTCTTATTCTATTTTTCTCTTTCTTCTGTCATAATTATTCTTCTTTCTCATTTTGTTGCACCTTTTTGTCTTGAGACTTGCATATCCTTTTTTGTCATTATTTTTTTCCTATCAAGACTTTGGTTTATCGATTACTAGTTTTTAAATTAAGGATAAAAGTTTTCTGTCATTTTTGGCATCATCTTCATGAACACAGTTTTTCTGTATTTTTGAATCATGTAATGTTGCATAACATATCCTTATTTATTTTATATGATATTTATCTTTCTTTTTTAATTTTGCATGATCTTCGCTTCTTCATTAATTTGTTATAGTAAATATTTATCTTCATTCATTTTATTTAATATTTACCTCTTTTTGTAATAATTTTATTTGATATTTGTCTCTTTCTATATTTTTTTTTTTTTTTTTTTTTTTTTTTTTTTTTATGTATCTTTTGTTATATTCATCATCTCATCATCCATTTTTCATCCAGGTTTTGAGTATACGACTTGGCCACGACGAGCTAATCATGAGTCCAGGAGCCTGTGATATTGCCTGCTTCCTCATACAGCCGGCTAAAGCCCTCCAGGAGCTGTACCTTCTGGTTCGGTCCCACGGCATCAACCACACGTTTGTAGTGAGGCTGTTGGAAATCAATCCCCTTTCAAAACTGAAGGTAATTTGCATGTGTTGGTTTGCTTGCTTTTATGGGGGGAGAAGGGGGTGTAAAGATAGGGCTCTCTCTGTATATGTTGCATATTTAGATTTTTAGATTTTCAATTTGTGCATTTTTTCTGTATTCAAAAAGGTTATGTGATGTGTTATTGTAATGTCTGTGTTAATGATAATCTTACTTATAACAATAATGGTGCTGTTAATGCTAAAATTGCTAATAGTGACAATTCCTAATCTCAATATTGCTTATAATATTAATATTACATGGGTAATAAAGATCATGCCAACTACATATGTAATTGTAAGAATGGTACTACAATACATTACAGTAATTTTAAAATATCTCTTAATAATGACAAAGTTACTTTTATGAAATAACATATTGTATGCAGTGTTTGTGGAGGTACTTGCTTTCATTCAACAAACTGCCTCTGAAAAGCACGTATGTCAGGTCATCCTGAGATTGGCATTCTGTTGTGGACATACATCTTTTGTCATGATTATCTTGGTCAAGTTATAGTTTATAGGCCTTTCTATCATGCAGACTGCACTACAGAGACTTGATTCTTTTGTGGAAATTAAGGCCAAAAGCTAAAAAGAAGAATAGCATTAAGTCCTTCATATATCATGTATATGTGTTTCAAAACCACATACCTGGATTTTGCTGGCACATATATGGCAGTAAAATAAGTGCACTGGAATTTAGGCATTTCAGAATGTTTGCAGAGCCATGAGGCATTGAGTTGGTGTGAGCAAACCAGATACTGAGTGTTTGTTCATCCTGCAGATTTTGATAGCAGATGCACCAAGGAGGACTTTAGCAGCCCCCATGTTAGAGCTGACCTTCGAAACGGCCTATCTTGTCATCAATAACTGTCCGTCTATTCAACTCCTCGGGAACCTTATATGCTGGAGTGTCACTTCCACTCAGGTAAGAACTGGGAGGTAGTTATTTGTTTTGTGAACTTTTCCTGCTTCCTGCTTATTCCATGCTTGGCCTGGTCCATTCTTTATTGATGCTGCCATTTGCTTTTCTTCCCCGTTGTCCTTGTATTCTGCTCTACTCATCTCTCTCTGCTCTTCCTCTGCTCTCGTTTCTCTCTCTCTCTCTCTCTCTGCTTCTCATCTCTCTCTCTCCTCTCTCTCTCTCTCTCTCTCCTCTCTCTCTGCATCTCTCGTCTGCTCGTCGCTTGCATTTTCGTCCTCTCGTCTCTCTGTCTCTCTCTTCTTCCTCATCTCTCTCTTGCTTCTCTACCTCTTTTCTCTCTCTCTCTCTTTTCTCTCTCTCTCTCTCTTTTCTCTCTCTCTCTCTCTTTTCTCTCTCTCGCCTTTTTCTCTACTCTCTCTCTCTCTTTTCTCTCATCTCTCTCTCTTTTCTCCTCTCTCTGTCTCTCTTCTTCTCTGCTCATTGCTCTGACCTTTTCTCCTCTCCTCTCTCTTCTCTCTCGTCTTTCTCTCTCTTCGTCTCACTCTCGATATTTTCACTCTCCTCCGCGTCTCATTTTATCTCTCTCTCCTCTTCTCTTATTCTCTCCTCTTCTCCTCTCTCTTTCCTCTCTCTCTCGTCTTTTTCTCTCGTCTCATCTCTCTTTCTCTTCATCTCTCTCTCTCTCTCGTCTGCTCTCTCTCAGTCTCTGCTCTCTCTCTGCATCTCTCTCTCTCTTCTCTCTCTCTCTCTCTCTTCTCTCTCCTCCTCTCTCTGTCCCTCTCTCTCTCTCTCTGTCTCTCTCTCTCTCTCTCTTCTCGTTGTCTCTTCTCTCTCTCGCTGGCTCTCTTCTCTCTCTCTCTCTCTGTCTCCGTCTCTCCTCCTCTATCTCCCCCTCTTCTCTCTCTCTCTTCTCTCTCTCTCACTCCTCTCTCTCTTCGTCTCTTCGTTCTCCTTCCTCTCTTTCTCTTCGTCTCTTTCTCTTTCTCTCTGTTCTCTCTCTCTCTCTCATCCTGCTCTCTGCCTCCTTCTCTTCTTCTCTCTCTCTCTCA